AGGAGAAGAGGTCCGAGGGCGTTTCGACGACTGCCCAACAGAAGCAGTCGCCTTGCCACGTTCCCGTGCTGGATCGTGTGTGAGCTTGGATCGCCTCTCCGGGCGAGGGGGTTCAACCTCCTCCTCCTCCTCTTCGCTGGAGTCGACGTTGTCGTCTCCCTTTCCTTCACCGTCGGACTCCCACTCACCTTGGTCGTCTCCACTCTCACCTCCGCTCGCCTCCCCTTCCTCAGTTGGCTCCTGGGCCCCGTTGGGCGTCGAGTACATCTCGGTAGTCGCCTGGAAAACAACAGACAAGACGAAAGTCAATCGACCTACTCAAAGAAGACCAATGAAGAAAACAAGATCTCAGTCAGGAGCATAAAGACATACCTGGTCCACGTCATACGAGTTGTCGAGTGGAATTACCCTCCTGGATCCTCGGGGGTTGTCTTTGTTCCCCGTGATGCTCGACAGCCACCCCTCCAGCATCTCGTCAGTAACCTCCTCCGGGTGGACCCGAGTGGTGTCGCCGAGACCTGAGTACAGCCACATCAGGTGGTCATGAGCCTGGAGCGGTTGGATGCGCCTCCGGAGGAAGACCTCCAGCAAGTCCATACCAGTCACGCCCTCACGGACAAGCTCAACCACTCGACCAGCCAGCACTTTGACTTGGGCCTTTTCCTCCGGCGTCACTTTCAGAGAAGCGGGTTTTTCAGCTCGGTCGAGAGAGAAAGGGGGAAGTTCGGTCGACTGCCCTGGGGTCGCCTGGTCATGAAAGTAAAACCAGGTCGCCTGCCAACCGCAGACCGGCTCCGGGAAAGTGATAGATGGAAAACAACTCTTTCCCCTCGTCTGGATCGCCAGGCCCTCGAACAGCTGAATCACCTGCGTCCTTTCGTCACTCGACTTAGCCTTCTTGACCGATTGAGAATGGCAGGTAAAGATGTGCTTGAAGAGTCCCCAATTGGGGCGGCAACCCAAGAAACCCTCGCACATGGAAATGAAAGCAGCAAGATATACGATGGAGTTGGGAGTGAAGTGGTGGAGCTGCGCTCCGAAGAAGTTCAGAAAGCTCCGGAAAAAAGGATGGGGCGGCAGAGAAAACCCTCGGTCGATATGGGTGGCTAGGAGCACACACTCACCGTCGCGAGGCTGAGGTTCGATCTCTCCCCCCGGGAGATGCGCAGCTTCGTGGGGAATGACTCCCCCCTCGACCATGTCGTCGAGATCTTCTTGCCGGATCACCGACGGCATCCAGTCGCCCTGGATCCAGCCGCGGGGCAGAGCAGACCTTGAGGAAGATCCGCCCCGAGCAGATCTCTTCCCTTTCCCCTGCGCCGCCGCCTTCTTCGCGCGCTCCAGAGCGGATGTCTTGTCCTTCGCCATCGTCGCCGGCAAATCTCGCACGGGTCTGCGGCGCTAGGGTGAGAGCGGAGGTGGTGGAGGAGCTTGCGAAGGGAGAGAGGAAGAAGAGAGCACACTATTTGGAAACCCCGAGCCGGCTACTTATAAGAGGCCGCTCCCGAGTGGCTGACTGGTAGGCCCAGGCAATCCAGTCAAATCCCGCAGCAGACGCGCGTGCAGTACGTGGCGAAAAAGGTGGCGCGGAAATTGAGGAGCTTCCGCTTTATCGCTTCCGATTACTGCTGCCGCTCCCGTCTCGCGCGCTTCCCAAAATCTGAATCCCACGACATCCGCGGGCTGCAAAGCAACTTGTCAAAACAGAAGACCCCGCTCGCGCCGACACTCGGTATGTCACAAGTAAAGAAATTCACTCGACGAAAGGCCTGGAATGGATCAAGGCGACTGAAAGAGGTTGATGGCGTCATCCGTGACGATTGACCCAAAATGAGGCACTCATGTAGCCCAAAGAACCAGTCGGAAAGATCTCCAACTCTTTCCCCACTCAAACCTCGATCCATTCGGGGGCTAATGATGAAGCTATGTACCTAGGGTAGGGGCACGGACCTGTCCAAAGAGCCCTACCCAAGGACATCCCTAGAAGAAGTCACCTTTCAATCGACTTGAAGGTATCCCACTCGACGGGTTCAAGACACTCGACCAAGAAGCTATCACTCGACCATGAAGCCAACCACTCGACTGCCAGGAGACCTAAAGTCACTCCGCAGGCAAACGGTCGGCTATTAAGTAGTCTTTATAGTCATTATAGCACTTTATTAGAGGCGTTACCAGTAACGCCCAACCTTAAATGTACCTTAAACCCTGCATCACCGAGGGCAGGAGAGGGCCGGCGAACTCTATTTAAGCCACCCCCCTCCTCAATATGAAGGGTTGGCACTCCTGTAATTCATACACACATAATCCAGTCGACCGCCTCCGGGCACCGAGACGTAGGGCTGTTACTTTCTCCGCGAAGGGCCTGAACTCGTACATCCTGGTGTATGCACAACTTCCCCATAGCTGAGATCTAGCCTCTCCATACAGACCCCCTTACCTCACTGTCAGAGTTAGAACCACGACAGTGCCTTTTTTTTAACAATAACAAATCTGTCCATACCACATTTATAAGATTTATTAATTAAATTTTCTTCTTCTGCTTTTTTCTTGCACTTATAGGCACCCGACTGATGTTTCCCCATGATGACTCAAATCTGTATTATTGAAAGACAAGATAAAGAAGATGAATAAAATAAAATTGAATTTATACGTAGCATATATCAATTGGACATCATGCGTCAATGATTGGGAATTAGACGAACCGTCTAACTCACCTAATTTCCGGTCCTGTGATCTTTAACCGGGAAGGTAAGAACCAATCTCTAATGAAGTAACAATCCCTGTCAATAAATAATTAGAGAATTAAGAATTAGGATTTAGGAGTAGGAACCGAAGTTAACTAAAAAGAATGACTCGCTAAGCACCTGAAGGCTAGCGTCGGTGACCGATCAATCCGATGAGATGACGTTGACGTGTCTGAAATTTAAGAAAGGAGTCAAGGAAGTCAACGGCGGCACCGCAGTAGTGGCATGTCGCTTAAGTCGGTCTGAGTCCGAAATTGGATCGGTCTAAGGAGTAAGGACCAGGGACCGAGCGAGAGCTACCGAGGGAGGAGGCGGGACTGAGGCGTCGACGTGACGACGTCAAGGGCTCCAGGCGTCCAGCCGTCGAGGGCTCCAGTGATCCGATCCCTGTAGGCTGTAGCGATCTAATGTTTTTTTATGGTAGCGATCTAGTATTTTTTTAATATAACGTAGCTAATTAGCGATGCCCTTGTCGCCTTTTTTCTGAGTGCTGCCTCGTCGCCTGATCTCGTAGCGATCTGGAGGAGTCCCAGCGCTCCGTCCGCTCGATGGCCTCGCTCTCGCTTGATGGGTCTAGTCGCTGGCCGCTCGGCCCAGTTATGTTTACTGTTACTATACCTATATAAAAAATATGGGGCTCCTCAGAATTTTGGGCCCTGTGCGGGCCGCACCTTTGGCACCACTGTGGGTCTGGCCCTGACGTTTTGCATCTATACAAGGCCACCAATAGTAGTCGAGACAAAAATAATGATATTTTCTCATACTAACAACATATTTAATACTTGCATGCATGCAGTCATGATGACAGTCACATGCATACTTCCCTCACTCAATTTCCTTGCATGCATGTGACGTATTAATGAACCCAAAAAACGAAAAGAAATGTTGACTTTCAAAGAAGGCATTAAATTTTACATTGGTACCTGTATTTTGAGTTTATGGCCTTGTATATAAAAATGGAGGGAGTATATGTTACTTTTATGGGTTGATTGAACATCATGTGCATCCCCAAGACCATGATTAGTGTCATCTGCTAAAAGTCTACAAGGAGAAGAGATGCATATGTGGATGGCCACCATGGAAGAAGGATCCTAATCGCATAATATATTTGACCTACTCCTCTTCCTTCAAAGCATCTCCGCCTACTACAGTCTCCTTCCCCAGCGTCACTTCTCTAAGCTTGATGCCATGAAAATAAATACCTCGTGCGGATCTCAAGTTCATGCCAATGAGCTCTTGAAAGATGTTGGAACATCAATGAACAGTTCTAGGGTTACGGGTCTGGCTCAACTGGGTTCCGGCAAGCCGAATTCTTGGTCGATGAGCCCAAATTGGCAACGGGTGGTGCCTCCATTGTTGATAATGAGAGGTCAAAGAAATCAAGATTTCTCGATGTTCTATACGATGTTCCAAAGTTTGCAAGTGCGGACGGTATTTGTTGTTTATTCATGAGTATTCGCACAATGTTGCACACATGTTACAAACATTTTGGTTTTATGCTTCCAAAGGATTTTCTCTTGCTGCAAATGCATTTCTTTGTCCTTGCCAGTGTTGTTCATATGTTGCACACATAGATTTTTCATGCTGCAAGTGTTGTGACACATTTTCAACAGTTTTGTTGCAAGGGCACATTTCACACGCTACAACACTTCTTGTTGTGATGGATAGAGATCCCAGATCTAGCACTTAAATGAATCCAACTATGGCAGAGACGGCTGATTTTGTTTTTCTCGGTCAGACGACTAACAATAAGGGATAACCATTTGATAACATATGTGTCGGAGTGTATGTCATGACACCATAAAAGGTAAAGCATCGAAATTTTTTGTTTTATTTTTTTGGGAATAAAGCATCGGGAATTGATCGACTGGCTCGGAAAATGTTCAACCCAGCCAAAGGCACTACAAACGCTGGTCCTAGTACAATACACAATTTCTACTTCCCATCGCTCGCTTGGGAGGTACCGACTAACTCAGGGAGGCTAGGAGAGAAGCTCCTATATGCTTGTAGCTGTCAGGAACCAGCTTCTGCAGATCCAGATGCAAAGTAGTGTCTGGTGTGATACATGTTTAGTCTAGATACTACTTGCTAAACCAGTTGATCGAAAGACTTGATTATCATTATGCTTGCACATAGTACGATTTTTTCTCATAGTTTTCTCACGGGTATACACAACTTTTGCATGATACATGAGTGGTGAGTTACATAGTTTCTCATAGTATGATTATTTGCATATACAAATTTGAATACTTTTCTCTATATAGAATTTACATATATAGAATCTACTACCACTTTGAGAGCCCGTGGATCGGTGTACGCATCTTGATCCTTGTACAAGAAGTCCAACATCCGTGTTGAATTCACCACCGCCTCTAGGAGCGGCGTTGTTGGTCGCGCGGCGGCTGGCTTGAGGAGCTCCTCAATGATGTCCATCCATGACTCCTCTATGAGCTCGCTGAGCTTTCTATATGCATCTTCCTTTGCAGTGTACTTGTTCTCCTCCATGCACGCTTCCACCGTTGACATCACAGGCCTCTCGCCAGAGCACTGTTCTTGTTCTCGCTGATTTATGAGAGAAAAAAGAGGGTCATATTAAAAAGGTGATCATACCCATCTATTAATATGGCTACGTGCATCAGTGCATCAATTGATGCAGAGACCAGGGTATCCTTCTTGGGTTAAATAACTTCTCTACTCACTCTGTAAAGAAATATAAGAGCGTTTAGATCACTCTTATATTTCTTTCCGGAGGGAGTATTAGTTAACCTATATTGTATGGCAAGTGGTTTCTATGACTAATTAATTATTATACCTGTTCAAAAATAGATGGTGTTCTAGAATTTTTTTTGCCAAACTTCTCTGAGGAGAATGTCGTTATATACCAAATTATTTGAGATTTTTCAACTACAATAATATCACTAGATTTACCATGTAAAACATTTCAAAGTTCAGTAAGTTTGTAGTTTATGACAGTATATACATATTCATGTTTAGAGTCTTTGATACTATTTCATAATGGAGGGATTACATCAATTTACTTAATTGGCTTTTAATTGGCATAGATATCATGATGCACACAACTAGGATTTATTGTTCTTTTGGATTATATTCACTGCCAAATAAAAGCGACAAGCTACAAAACTAGAAGGATCCCAAACTTATCCATGAACCAAAAACTGCAAATAAATAAAATATGGCGTGTATTTACAGTTGTAAGTGTGTAACCTCGTGCGAAGCCACATCGTTGATGACACGGCCAATGACACAAGAGGCTCGCATAATTTTAGGATAGGTCATGCCCCACTCGATGGCATCTCCGCTCGCTCCTATGACAACGAAGGCAAGGCATGCAACATGCATGCAACAGCAGCTAGGCACTGAGAATCGCAGGTGCTCCTCAACGGTAACAGGTGTGTCACTTTCCTCACGCCATTTTGCCTCATTGTAGTAGCATTTCGTAGCATCGATTAGCTGCATAAGTACAATGACATATTTATTTTTCACTGGGAAGTTGATTGTCTACATACATACACATGTTTCTTTCACATAGCAGATTTTTTAACGAGCGAACATAAACGAAACAGAAGCTTCATAAGCATAGGTGTTAACTTTTAAGACGACAAATATCAGGATCTCAGTTTTTTAAGTCTCGTGCAACAAAGCCAACTGTTAAGATGAGTCATATATTGAGTACACTGTTTATGAGTTAAAGTATTTTAAATTTCAAATTTACGAAGAGTCTTGATGATTTCATCACTTTTATCTACGCGTGCAAGCCTCAAGTGGCTCTGCATCAATTCCTGCATGCGATTCAGAGGCTTCGCACCATAGTGCTAATTCTGTCCATACATAATGATCCTATGCGTGTATTTCTCGGTTTATTTTCTTGAATTAATCATGTTCGTGAGACATCAACTTACTAGCTTTTTTACATAGTCTGCATGCTTGTTTCCTTGACTATCCAAATCTTTTGCGATGACCTTCATGGTAGCGAGTACTTTGCTGTAGAAGAACTTCATGTAACCTGGGAGGTGTTCAGCGGCTTGCTCATCCCACCTATAAAGAATAGAAAGTTCTTCTAGAATTAGTACCAAGCAACACATTAATTGGTTGTTAAACCATCCTAGCTCACATAGATATATAGAGACCTTTCCATTGCCACGGTGAGGAGCCTGCTTTCTTCTAAGGTGCTGTAGCTGTCGTAAATGTCATCGAATATCGATATAAATTAATGTAAAGAATTTTGTGAGTACGATTCGTCCGTATGAATATTGTGGCTCAAACAAAACTCCTAACATCCAAAAGTGCATCTCCACCATCCTGTCTCGTGCGAAGCTCAAATGGTCTTGGAGTTGCAGTTATTTCCACCACCTGCAAATAAACCATGAACTCAGATTGTAATGGTACGACGAGAATATGGAAACCAATTCAAGAGTTAAGGGGCATAGGGTTGTGTCTGCCATCAGATTTTAGTGGTGTACTCCCTTCATTTTTGTATACAAGGCCACTGTCGAATTTATAATTTGCAACTATACAAGGTCACTAACATCAATCGAGGTAAAATTGATAAGGCTTGCCTCGTAGTAGCAACCGAGGACATTAATACCCCTTACATGCATGTGGGAGTGAGAGGGTTGGTGTGCATGCACCACATTAATCAGACTACCCACAATGAGAGTAACATAGGTGATAACATCACATTTATCTAGGCAAAATAGATAATGTGACATATAATTAATGAAAAAAAAGATGCATGTGATAACATAGCTAGTTACTGTAACATCACACATATCAAGAAAAGATGAGTCTACAACCTAATAAATGAAGTTATGCATAACACAACACATATGTTACTACCCATTGTGGAGGTAGTAACATGGCCGCTCATAGGCGCCGGCGCACCGGCCCAAAGTTGGGCCGGTCGCACCAGGACCGTGCGATTTAACAATTGGTAGCCGCACGATCTTTCCTCCACTCGTTTCTTCCCCAGCGCGACGACTTCTCTTCGAGAAAAAATAACAGATCGACATCGCATCTCTCCATGGACGAGCACACGACCGGCCTCGAAGAACCACCCCGCGCGCTCACCCGTCGCCTCGCTTGCCACCGGTCGCCGCACTCGCCGTCTCTGCCACCGCCCTCGCCACTGGTCGCCGCACTCGCCGCCGGTCGCCGTCCTCGCCGCCGCCGTCTCCTGGGTTTCTCGCCGAATCCATGCATGCAGCAAGCTTTCACCCCATTGGTTGCACCTCCCTCGCCTGGTGATGGTCGCGGCTCCGGCAATGTCGGTCCCCGGGCGTAGCACCCAAAGCGACGAGCTCGCCAGAAGGAACCTACATCGGGTTGCTGGTAGCAACAAAAATGTCCGTTGGTGGTAGCAAAAAAATTTGCTGGTTCCAGCAAAAAATAGCTCGTAGTTGTCGCCACCCCATCACCATTGTAGCAAAATCGATCGCCGATTGTAGCTTTTCTGATTGCCGGTTGCAACAAAATCATGCGCTCTACCATCAGTGCAGTAAACACTCCGAGGATGCAGCAAAAATTGTGGTTGGTTCCAGCTTTTGATTTGCCGGTTGTAGCAAAAACAAAAGCTGGTTCCAGCTTTAGCTTTGCGTGAAAACAAATCGTTTGTTGCAAAGCCATCTCTTGGTCACTACTTTCGTCAGTCGCCGTGGTAGCAAAAAAGCTCGCCGGCAGAAACTTTTGTCTTGTTGGATGCAACAAATGAGGCGACCGCCGTCGTCGCCGTAGAAAACACTCCAGGCGATGCACCAAAACTAAATGTTGGTTCCAGCTTTTTATTTGTCGGTTGCAGCAAAACAAGAAGCTGATTCCAGCATCCGTCTTGAAAATTATCCAACTCGCCGTGGGTGCTGGAAAAATAGCCGGAGCTGGAGACGATGCGCTGGGGAAAACGTTTGAGCTGCGCAAGCATGGGGTGCAGCGACAAGGGGCTCACGGGGAAATCGCTGGTCGCGGGGGTGGACGACCACCTCGCTGACGAGATGTGGGCTGCAGCGACAGGGGCTCGATACGGGAATGGATGGCGGTCTCACCAGCGAGATGTGGGCTGCAGCGACAGGGGCTCGATACGGGAATGGATGGTGGTCTCATCGTCGGCGAGACGCGGGCTGCAAGGATGGATGGGGGAGAGATGCAGCTGGACGTTTGAAAAAAATGGGTGGAGAAGGAGAAGGATAAGATCCGACTGGGCTCATCTCGTCCGTGAACATGCGAGTGCGTTGGTAGCAGGAGACCGGCGCAATCTTCCGCCGGTCGTCCGGAGGGAAACGTTTCCCTAGTAACATACACTAATAACATGTGCATGTTACTACTCTAAGTTACTCCTCACTGTGACTAGTCTCAACCAACAAGGAGTGAGAGTTGTTTTGTTGTGCGTTGAAGAGCAAAATGCACATTAATTAACACGTCAAGCAAGGAGAAAAGACTAGCTTGCAACATTAACTTAAGTAGGCATTAATTTCTATCTTGATACCTGTAATATGAGTTTGTGGCCTTGTATATAAAAATGAAGGGAGTAATATAAATTGCACGGATGGATAAAAGGTGAAATTTTGCCTATATACTAGCAGATTTCATCATAGAAAGTCACTTACAGAGTAAGAGTCCTCAGCTCCTCACAGTAGAGAGCTTGCAGAATACTGAAATCCAGCTTTGCAAGCTCCAAAATGGCATCATTCCTTGTAGTCATTCTCTCATAAACTGAGATGAAGTGCCGCGCTTCAACTCTTCGAGGCCTCCTGAAAAGAGGCGTTTCCAGTGTGCGCCGCACCTGATCGAGCAATATTGATGGTGGAATTGTTTGTTGCTCCACGGCACACTGGAGATGGCCTTTTGTGTAAGCCATTGCGCTGCTGAGTGTTTCTTCACCATGTGTTCGAACATGGGCAGCGTTGTACATGCACAAGAGGCTTCTTGTTTCATTGCAGGTAATCTTTCCTTCGTCATCTATGAATTTTAGGAATACATCTGCGGCATTGTCATGTATAGTACGTATTCTATTAGGAAAAATGTTTTTTGAAAATCTCACCGACCCATGTCTTTGAGATTCTAATTATGTTTGTTATACCTGGTGAAACATTCAATCCCTGTTTCCTGAGCAAATAAAATCGAAGGGCCGTTGTGTGAAGATCGCGGGCTTCATCGCCGGCATCATGAATCCCACACAACAAATCATTGATCTCCTTCCCATAGTGGTAGTCCAAACCAAGCCGCTGTAAAGTATCGACAAGCTCAAGCTTCCGAGGCAGATCAACAGAACCCGAATCTACTATTCTTGCCCTCAGCTCTTCTTTCATTACTTCAGCCTTGTTTTTCATGGAAAGACACTGCAAGAGCATGTAACATTAGTACTCACTTTGTGTCCGAGGTTATGCTTCGACAAAGTACTCATTTTGCATGAAAAACATACTTCATGATGTGCGTTATATTATCCGCTAAACCTTAAGTAGACTTCTACAAAGTGTAAAACGACATCTATAAAGAGTTGTGCAACGGAAGTACTACTAGTTCATCCAACCTAGCTCCAACAAGAAGGTACGACACTGGAGTGTGCTGATTAAATTTAGTTCACCTGCACCGGAGAGAATGGCCTGAAACCAAGGAAGAAGTCCCCCCATACGGTGGGGTGGTGAAACCGGTGGCTGCCCTGGTTGTCGTTCATCGCAGGTGGGTGTGGGCGACGGTGACTCTCCACGGAGGCTGCCATTGCCGGAGAACGTTCGAGCTCAGCTGATTACTTCTATCTGATAATGTTAAGGTTGGTGGTGCATGCCTTGTGAACTGGTTGGCTTTATATAAGAATTAGAACAGGAGAGGCCCCTAAATGGTACACGTGTATAATACTGGAGACACATAGGAACACTGAATGCAAAATTCACGTGATATTGTAACTGTCACTTTCAGTATTGTGGCACAAATGTGCCCATTAATTAAAGTTTTTTTATTCGAGAAATTATGTACAGGTTTGAAAATTCTAAGACATGTGTCTCTTTCATACTACGTTGTTCCCTTTCGACAGGGCCACTCAAAAAGATTCTTATATTAGTAACTTGAGGCACTCAGAGAGACACCATGTAAAGTCACATCATCTAAAAAATTTAGATGGTTGGATCTCGAAAACACAATGGTAAACATGATTTCACGACCCAATAAGATAAAAAAAATAGCAAAAAAATCAAACAATTATAAAATTTAAGGTTACAAAACTTGATCGAATGTCAATTCACATGTGAACTTGTGAAGTTTCACCAAGAAATGGCATGTAATCATGATATTCTTAACGAAGAAACAAAATCAAACCTTCAAATTACTTTATACACATGAAAACACATTTTTTTTGGTTTTTATAGCATTTTTCTTACTTTACTAGTCATAATGGATGCGCGTGGAACCATGTTCCAAAATTTCATGTCCGTTGGATCTCTAATATAATGAACCGTGTGGTTGAGATTAAATTGTGTACACACATGTGCGTGCGAACTAAAGAGAACTGGCTGGTGAGGTACTCCCTAATTTCCTTTTTACAAGGCACATAGCTTTTTTATTTCTTTTGCGATTTAATCTGCGTCTTTTCCATCCACACCAATTTAGTATATCTCAAGAAGACTTCTATTGGATAATCAACTGTTGGCCCACAGCCCAGAACGCATCATATGCACTGCATGAGCACATCCGAAGGTAAATTTGCTTAGAGCATCTTCAGCCGCAACCCCAACAGGCCCTCCAGGTCATTTTTTGCCACCGGCACCCGAAAATGGCCCAGTCGCATCCCAGGAGCCTGTTTTTCGCCGGTTTGGGTCGAAACTGGCGCCAGCGGACCCAAACCGAACCCGACATGCTGGGCGACGCCGGGGAAGGCGTTTTTGGCGCGAATGGGAGTGGGCCCACCAAGTCAGCGACACATCGCTTCGTCGTCCTCATCGCCTTGGTTCCCGCTAGAATCAATGTCAAGGCTGTCGCGCTGCCGTGCCGGTCAGCCTCCATTGATGCCTCACGGGCGGCGCAGTTAAGACTCCGCGACGCGCGTCCTGCCAGCTCCCACCACGCGTCACCCGGCATGCAGGCATCGCAACGCGTGTCCCGCTCGCTCACCTCCCCGCCGGTGAATGCCACAGTCGCCACAACTCTCCTTATCTCGCCTCGTCTTCCCCGGAAGCCACCTCTCCCCCCTCTTCCCTCCGTCGACGAGCATGGCTGAGCGGTACCCCGGCGACTCCACGGCGGCGAACGGCTTCGGCCGACGCCATCTCCACGAGGACGAGGCGTGCCTCCTCTACGAGGTCGACTATCTGGCGCCCCCAGACATGCGGGTGTCAGGCTTGTGGAAGTTAAGCGCCGGCGGCATCTCGGTACCACCGGTGCCCACCAGGGTTGACCGGCAGGCCTAGATTGCGCGCATCCGCTCGTCACTGACGGAGGCGCAGCGAAACGAGCCGAAGTATGCTGACAGCCACACGTTGTGGACAATGTACTTCGAGCACCGCCACGAGGACCAGATCGCCTCCACCAATGGCATCATCCCCCGCGGCCGCCTCAACACCGACAGGCGGCGCGAGTGGTGGGGCGTGCCCGGCCGCACTCTCGAGGCCGTCCTCGACCACATCGAGACCGGTAACACGCCGCGTCTTGAGTACCCGCCGCGCCCGCCGTTCTCTCGCCGTCGTGGCAGCTCCTGGACGCCGCTGCGAATGGAGGCAGGGACCTCCTCATCGCCGGCGCTCCGCCCTGTCAAGCCGGAGCCGTAGGAGACGCCGTTTGGGCACTGCACCCGCAGCGGAGCCCTCGTCATCAACGAGGGCGGCCGCCCCTCCCCGCGTTCCCTCGGCCTTGTCCGGCCAAAGCCCGAGCGGGGGCTGCTCCCCATGAAGCCGAAGCACGCGGAGATGGCCGCCGACGACGAGACTGCCCTTAAGTGGGCAAAGGCGGACTATGTCCGCGAGCAGGTGCTCCGCCAGCGCTGGGCATACGCGGAGATCAAGGCCCGGCGCCGCTGACATGAGCAGGGCGGCGTCGTTATCCTCGGCGGCGACGACGAGGACGAGGCCGGGCCGTCCAACCCCCCGCGCGTCGGCTACCCCGGGCAGGGGTGCAGTAGGGCCGGCGGCGGCTCCAGCAGGGCGTAGGGCGGCGATGATGACAACGACGGCGATGACTACACCCGGTTTTACAGGCTCATCGACATGTAGAAGGCGGGGCGGCAGCAGCGGCGTAGCAAGGCTAGGCGTAGTTTGTCTGTTTTCTCTATTTTTGTACAAATTTCAATAAAAAAAATCGCCGAGTTTGTGCCAGTTTCGTATCAGATCGCCGAGTTTGCGCGATTTTGGGGGCGACCTGGGGCGACGTCTGGGAACGCAATCGCCCCCACGCCGAAAGCACACGCTGGTTCGGCCCCAAACGGCATTTTTTCGGCGTTCTGGGGGCCGAACGGCTGGAGATGCTCTTATGTGGCAAGTACTTAATGAGTAGAGAGATGCTTGTGGTAATATAATACGCTACCTTAACATAACGAACCCCAAGGCAATATGAATCTACATCTTAATAAATAAAGGTTTGCACGATACTACAAATATGTTACTACTCATTATGAAAGTTACTGCCAGCTATGACTAGCCTTATATGGACATATGTGTGGTTTGAAAATTCTAAGAAATCTATTTCCATGTATGACGTTTGCATGCTGTATGAATAGAACTATGACCAAAAAATTCTTCAAGTACCACACAGACACTCAACACGGGCTAGGATGGTGAGTTCAAGTAACTAATATATGTAGCACCTTACATGAGCTGTTTACTGTCATGTAGCACCTTTTCTAAAAAAAATGTAGATTAAGGAAGAGGCTAGAGTGGCGATAGTGATTTTATAATCAGAGTTGGATGATGTTGAATGGGAAAGAACTTAATTTTCATGAGAGCATTACAATTACAGGTGGAGTCATTTGAAGTCAAGAAAGGTCCTGTGGGGTTCATGGTAAAGTAACTAAGTCTCAAGTACGCAAAGGTTCAAGCATGATAGCTTTAAGATGGCATATTCGTTAACGTGGAGTTTGTTGGAATTTTAACGGAAAATATGCGTACAAGTTTTATTACAGGTAGACTTGTATTTAAAGTTGGGTTAAACTTGGAGTTGGACACATTTGTAAATTAGTTGATCACAACGAAAGTAATTAAGGTGACCGTGTGTTAATTTTTTTAGTATATTAATTGTCCAATCACTTGTATACAATATTGTTTAAGCACTTGATAAGATTTTATCTGGTCTAAGGTTCCAGCCCTTGTTGACTTGATCTCAGAAGAATTCACTCAACTCTCTTAACACGGGCTCCAAGCTTAATTAGTACGCAGAAGCGCTGCAGCCAACAGTGATGTATGTCGTGGTCACCACTAAAGCAGGTGTGACAGTGATACTATTTAACATGATTGTAAATTAGCTATGCATTGAGCAAAAAATTAAACTACAAAATTGGCAGTATATTGAGAACGAGAAAAACCAACAAATTGTGTGGCCGATAATTGCTCTTGGCCGCAGGAAACGCATTCTTCACGCGGTGATGGCGACCTAACATCTACTGATTTCTTTCCCTTGTACGTCCTTTGAAAATAATGTAGAAGACGTGGGCCAAAAGTTCTATGGCTGGACTCGTAGCTAGGTACGGCTATGAAGGACACATGGGAAGTGTGGAAAGCAAGCGAAACACATTTTTTGCAGCAGGAAACACATTTTTGGCCGCGGGAAACACATTTTTCACTCAATAATGGCGAGCTAGCATCTATCAATTTTGTCGTCCTAGACGTCCTTTAACAGTTTGGCAGCAGGAGGGCAAACGTTTCTGCGGGTAGTCATATAGCATAGGTCTGGCTCTGTAGCAACAACAGAAGTCGACATCAAACAAAAAATTTCACTTTAGCCAATACTCAATGTCTAGAAATGGAAGTACATGCCTCAGATTTATTTATAAAATTGGTTTTGCTAAAACATATCTAGATGTGCGCTAAGTATTGCACGTCTAAGTCCTATATATATGTCATTGTTTCTGGTGGAGATTCGTGCAGGTTTTTTCTTTTTTCCTTTTTTCCCTTTTTATGTTTTTTACAGTCTTTATATTTCATTGTGTCATTTAGATGTGCAATAAGAGAATCTACATGCGGATATATGTAATCCGGCTCCTCAAACGTTCGCGGACGTATTTGGATGCGTCTATGGGCACTAACCGGCCACCCCTCATTTGGTTGCTTCCACAACCATCTCCCTCATATTCGAACCCCCAAATTCATGCAACACGTAAAATAGCTAGTATGTAGAAGAACATGATGAACACTCTTAGCGGAAATAATTTCACATGCTAGCTTAGCGGACATACTCATCCGACACAAAATGATCAAAATTCATCGCCGAACAGTGCAAATTCATACTAAAAACTAAAGAACATGGATAAAACTGAGGCGGAGAAGGGTAGAGGAAATCACCATTTCCTCACCGGACCCTTCCCCTTGCAGTCATTGGTGTTGTTGTACCCCTCCATATAGGCATCCGCAACGTAGGCAGAGGGGCGTCGTCATTGAAGTTGGGTCCGTCGAAGGGGCGGGTGAGGTAGGAGTCGTCAGGGGAGGAGGAGATGATGTCGGTCACTCTCTAGACCACGCGCTCATGTGCCTTGGCCATCCAGGACACCTTCTCCATGGCAGCCGCCTCAGCCGTAGCCTCGCG